AAGCATATTTTAACTTATTTTACGAAAAATATTTGCTAAACCGACATAATTTTGTCATTTTACTTGTAAAGAGTGGTTGATGATGAAGCTATGTTCAGAGAATGGTGGAAATCCACCTAAGTGGTATTTCTGGTCTACGGCTGATGTAAATTTCATCCTTTCGTTCACGAGTCCCAATCATTAGAACAATTGAAGTGATTAGCTCTGGAGAGGTCGAGGGCACACGTACCAGTCAATAGCTTGGAAATGAAACATAACTTTGTTGGAACAAATTATGAATATTATTTTGGGGAAAATTACATCTTTCAGTGCTTATCGGTAGAAAACGTGTTGTTAATTACCAACCTTATCAAGCCCTTCACCCAAGTTATGGATAACTGTTAAACTGATAACATGGCCCTTAGGAATGCTTCCACACCTCAACATTTTCGCATCATCCACTCCTAAATAATAGAACATATGTTGAAAGGAAAGTATTTTAAGTTAAGAGTTATTCATCGATCAGTTTGAAGCTTCATTATCCACCCAAGGGCAGCACCCCGGAACAAATTACACCAATAAACTAATGTAGCCATTTAGAATATCTGCAGCCAGGGAAAGATTTCTAATCCTCCCTATAAAGCAATTTCTTAACTTAGCAACCCTTCTTGGTTTTTCGTAAAACCAAACCCATAGTTTTGCTAAATGTCAATTAGAATAAAGCCAAATATCACTGGTCAGGAGCCAGAGGGAGTACAAAGCATAAAGAAGCAAAATATTTAAAGCGTGGGCCTACTTGTCACCTTTGATCTTAATCTTGAATTCCATCGGTTGAAGGAGTGGGGCAAGTTTCCCGGGCCCATTAGACAACAAAGCTGGCCAAAATCAACTCTATTAAGAATTGCTCTAATAAGAATTGCAAAATCCCTGAAATAGTAAGCGCGCTCAAATTAATCATTAGGTGTGTTTAGATAAGGATGAGTTAAAGATATTAGCTATGTAACAAATAGATTCCAAGTTGCCGTGCGACTGTTCAGTAATAGATCACAGATGATGTGAACAACTGTTTTCAGTTGTTGTCAACTGTTTTCTAATACTCTATTTACACCAGTAAAACATATTTTGTTCAACTGGTTTTTACTGAATGACAACCATAAACAGATTCAAGTACTTGCTAACTTGCATTTTCAATGTACTACATTTTAAATAAAAAAAATCAGGTTCAGTAGTTTCTATGAAGTAGAAAAAAATTAACCTGTCTTTAACAAAACAACCTAAAAAAATGTCTAAGCTTTGGTGTGAATGGGGTATAAGACTTCGTCGTATAGTTATCCATCCGGTTTGTCAGTTGTATATACATTTTAGTAGCAATCTTTACAGGCCACTCACTCATCTTACCAGGTATACCTACTCACCAAGAAGCTTTTCTGCTATGCATTTTTTCCCAATGCTTTCTAAAGCATCCGCTAAACGCCCTGCCACTGCGCTGCTCCCTTCTTTCTGTTTCCACATGAGGAGTAAGGCGTTTGCTTTGTCGCGACTACAGCGATAATCGTTGTCCAGATTTTGGATCTTTGCTGCAGGGATATCAAGCTTTGGTCCAAGCTCACGCCAGCAAGTACCTACGTCATCACTTATGTCTGAAAGCAGCAGTTCTGTCACCACAGAGGTCCTTGGGTCGTTTAAGTCTCCTGTGTGTATTTAGAGATGTTGCATTCTTAGCTACATTAATGTTTTAGTTGCATGCAGTTTAAATATTGGATTGCGTGAGGTATCATAGTCCAAAAAATGTTATCTTTTTGCCCTGGAGTAGAAAACTAACCAGGTGCTCATAGGACAGTAATAAGTTGGTGGGCTTAAGCTTCCGTTTAATAATTCAGTCGATTCTAAACAGCCAAATTCTAAACAGCCAAACTCGTAAGCGGTAGGTTACTTGAGTGACGATGTTTTAGGGATTGGTAGGGACTTGGTTAAATTGCCTTTGCAAAGAAAATCAGACATGAAGGATTCTAAATCTCGGCTTTTCTTTTATCGCATTTAATTTTTGGGGTGCTGATTTTAATTTTAAATTATTCTGATTTCTAGCAGCTTCATCAATACTAGTTATATCAGGGGTTTTTTTTCACATATCTTCAGTTATATTATAGTTCGGATATAACGCGCGCTGTCATTGGTTGAAAGAGAGCGTTCTATCAGAGCACAAAACAGTTATATGTGTCACGTACGTCATCTGCCAATTTGTAGAATGTCCAACCATTTCTCGGACTTCTCTCAAGCTTTGTTTTTGTTAATTGAAGTGAAATTTCGGAACAAGGAACCGCCAGATAACAACAGAGTAACAAAGGTTTGTAAACATGCCAAGCACAGTAATTGACATTATTATTACGCGAGCAGAGACGAAAATCATTAAGAGAAAACGAAACGAATTGTCAGAGTTTTGAAGGTCTTCACGCTCAGTTATATTATAAGCTTACGTCTGGTAATAAAACTCAAACACAGCTAACACTCGCATACAGGATACATAGTTTCGTGTATAAAACAAAACAGAACAAAACAGGAGTGATGAAAATATAATCAAACTGGCATAACTGTTAAAATCTAAACAATTCTTGATGTTGACAAAGTGACTGCGATCATGCTGTGGTCCGTCGCGGCTAGCTCATTGTGGCGATCTCCGGTCATCACAAAGAAGCAAGCCTCAGAAATTTCATCGTTCGCCCTTCGAGAGAGCTGATACCCTTTCCGGTGCGTTGGCCACATCAGTTGCAGTACCTGAGTTTTTCGGCGCTGTTACCAAGGAATCTTCTTTTCCTGTGAATTCGGCTGTCTTTCATTCGTAAAACACAAGCCTTGAGCAGTTTGATTTCGATTTGTCGAGAGAAAAATTAAAGCTTGCATGTTTTATGAGCCACAATTCGACCAGATATCACAGAACATTTCACTTCCAGATTCAAGCAAAAGCGTTGAATTCGATCTGCCGACTATTTTAATAGGTGAACTATTACGTATTTTGAACTTCGTTGGTTTACCAGTTTTGACAGCTTTTATCATATTCAACCAATCAGATTATTTAAACCACTTTAACAAGGGTTTTGATCGGCTTATATAAGCGCGTTTTACGAGAGTATGGTGTTTAAAATAGACCCACACCAAAAAGAGTTAATCTTCTTTACTTGTCAACAATAACGCTTGAATAATGATTATTTGCTCAAAGGTACGTGTTTACCAAGGGGGAATTGCGAAATCCCCCTCTCAGACCTAAATGTAACTCAATAAATCGAAAATATTCCAGAACTTAATTGTCACGCAACAACCAAGGAATGTTGGGGGTCACCACAAGAGTATAACACTTTTGTTCGCTTCGGAAATTCAAATTTTGTTTTGAAAATAGAAAGTAATGCAGGGGAATTTGACGAATTTGATTGTAAAGCACTTAGAAAGCGGCTGGAGCCAAAAGGAGGGAGAAATATTCGACTACGTCTCGTGTTCCTCCCCTACACTTCTTAGTGCTCTATACCTAGCCGCTTTCTGCGTGCTTTACAGCAGCACAGAGTACATGCAGTCAAGACTAATTCCTTATTTGTTAAGTAGACGTGATGGATTTGTAACGTCATCCAACAAAAAAAACAACTCTGATTTAACTCACATTTCCAAAATCCTTGAATCAAGACAAAAAATTTTTCGTTCACTTTAAAGGCAAAAAATTTACTACAGCGATAGGCATAATTTCAGTTTCCCGTTTGTGGTTCATCGAAAGAGCCATCCCTAACTCTCAAATGTCTACCTAATACGTGATTATTTTATTGAAATTTCTATTTTGCAAGTAATCGGAGGTTTCCTACTAAGAGTAATTTTAGCTTTTCTTTATTGGCATCAAGTTGGAACACAATCTAAGCCGGATACAAAATTTCCATGATCTGATGTCAAGCCGGCTAAAATTCTTGGTACCATCGACGCCAATAATTCATCGAGATTTTGTTCTTTGCAAATAAGTTTAAAGCTTCAATCCTGACATTAAAATAGGAGCAGCATGATAAACTTTGCAAGAAAAAATTCAGTTTCCAGTCTTGTTCTGTTCCCTTTATCTTTCCCATTCTAAAATCATTATAGCGGAACATATCTTAACCTTATACATTGTAAATATCGCTCTACATTATCAACGCCGAAATGCAACAATCTCGCATACAAATCACACCTGAACAACTACACTAACATTACGAGATATATAGAGCTTTAAGGTTAATTAGAATACCGGTTATATGACAATTAAACAACACAGATTAACCACTTTTAGTTCGATGACAAGCACCCACGAAGACTGCCAAAAAATTTGAGATTTAAATTACTGTTATATGATTGATTACATTATTATCTTTGCCAATACAGAAAAACGAGCACTTACAGAACCAAATGATGATACTTAAAACTGATCGTGAACACAAGTAGTTTTCTGACAAGCTACCGAAACTGATGTAAACTTAAAGGCCATATATCTACCTCGTACACATAATATGGTGAAAGCTTACTTTTCATTTCAATAGCATTCTCAGCTTCTATTCCGCTTGTCGCAAGCAATGTCGGCGTCTTTGTTTCCTCTGAAGCCATAGGACTTGCTTTTCTTTTTTCTTCCTCCTGTTGTTTCCTCAGTAAAACTTTACTTTCCCTCTGTAAACTGATCAAAGCTTCGATGTTCACCAGAAGGCCATTTTCGACAATATTTTCACATCTTGTCACAA